ATATATATATATATATATAATCACTATTTACTGCCTAAGGAACCTTTGGGTTGTGTTACACTCACATAGCCCAACTAATGATTCATACAACAATGTGTAAGCTGTTTACTTTGCAAATATGTTACAAGCCTCAGGCATTTTGCAGAGGGTAATTAAGAATCAAAAGGTGCATACTGATTTACATTTGTATCTATCTATTTGTGTGTGTGTATATATATATATATATATATATATATATATATATATATATATATATATATATATATATATATATATATATATATATATATATATATGAATGTTAATTAAGAACTGATATCTATAAAAATAACTATATAAGATTTATTGTAGATAATAATATTATTATTATATTAACTTCCTAAAATATTGCTTCTTCAACTCTCAGTTCTTTTCCTTTTTTGCACCCATATGCACAACACTCTGAACCTCAGGGATCTTTTTTTAATCCGCACATTATTGTATATTCAACTTAGCTGAAATCTGATTTTAAAGCGATTAGTCGAAAAACTAAGCCAAACGCTTACTTAAAGGCTTTTTTAAAATGAAAATAATAAATAAATTTTTTAAAAGGCTTACTTATTCAAATATCTGGGGCTTTCCAATATGGCGATTTTGGCGTCATAAAATTCAAAATTTTGTTCAGAGTTGCGCTATCCAGTTATTATAGAGATCAGTGGCGGTAACTATGCGTATGTAATCTATGCGGTAGTGGTGTAGTAGTAGAGCGCTCGCTTCATAAGCAAGAGGTTCTGAGTTCGATTCCCACCACGTCCCTGGTAGTACTGCGCTCTACTTGTTTCTCCGCGCAGTGGCCTTGTTCGTCAAGGTTCATGTTTCGGAGTTATAGAGTTGAGAGAGGGTTATAACCACAAGTAGCCTCCTCATCTGTAGTGGCCTTCTCATGAACGCATCACTTGCTCTGTGACCATTTCCTAATTTTTTAAAGAACCAAGTTTTGTATATAGAATGATTGTTAATCGGCAGAAAAGGACCTACGATGTTTTGGAAATGATTAAAACCATGTTTAATAATTTCAATTCTCAATGTATCAGTTATAATTGCTTTTCCTCTTTTTTCACTAAACATAAGCAATCTGATGTCGTGTTCTTCAATAATTTTAGGTATAGGACATTTAATAATTAAGACGTTTTATGATATAAAGTCCCTATCTTCAACGTCATCAATCTTCATTTCTTTGTCAAACTCAGTCCCAACCTCTGTTTCTTCAGAAGTAGCATAGATTTTTGAATTATAACTATAATTCTCTGCATCGATATCAATAGATGCCGCAACTAATTCTTTCTTGCTTGAACTTGACCCAGTAACTTCTAATTCTTGAGGCCTTGCGCCTGCAGAATTTTCTGGATTATCTGAAGAAGTCGTGCTCGTACTCAATTTCTGAAAAAATGTCTTAAAAATCTTTGATGATTTTTTCTTTTTGTTTTGCCGCTAATGAACGTCGTTTTCGACATGCAACCCCACTTTCCTTCTTTTTCCCAAAAGAACGATTCATGGTTCTCAGCTAATTATTTTTAAAATTATTAAGAATTTGCTATACATAATTGACAAAAGCAATATATTTTTAAATTACCTTAATATATCTCAACAAAATATTTTAGAATATATTTGTAGAAGACGAATTTAGGGGCGCCCATGCAAGCAATACCAGGCGCCAGTGTATATTTCAGTTTTGATTAATTTAATAATAATAAAATAAAATATAAAAGTCCGTCTTACTTTTCTTTGTTAGTTTCATTAAAAGTGCATAAGTTGCACTCACCTGCGCATAAGTTGCACACACTTGCGCATAGAGGCTGCGGAAAAACGCCATCTTACAACATAAACTAATAGTTTTAAAGTTTGTTAGAAAACTTTAAAGATTTTTTTAAATCTTAGTTTATTTTATATAATTCTCGCTTATTGTATCGTAGCCGAGCCTCTTTTGCGAATTTTTCAGGTTGGCGTCCATGGCACGTGCCCCGCCTGTCCTACCCTAGACACGCCACTGCCTACAAACCTAGACACGCCACTGCCACAAACGCCCATGCAATATTAAATATTATAAGTATAAATAAAATATTTTTCTCTTAACATACAAGCTTCTGTGGCGCAATTGGTTAGCGCGTTCGGCTGTTAACCGAAAGGTTGGTGGTTCAAGCCCACCCGGGAGCGAAGTAAATCTTTTTATACGAATAAAAATATTAATCTACAAAAGTTAAATTTATATATATTGAAATGTACTAATTAGTTAATATATTGTTATATATATATATAGTTAATATAGTTAGTTATATATATTGAAATGTACTAATTAGTTAACTAATTAAAAAAATTTATGTGCCAAAGGCCGTCAATAAAATATGTCACGTAATTTTTGATCTCTAAACCCCAGTAGCAAAACGTTATGCTAACTTACCCCCCGCTAAAATTATTCAACAATTTTGTAACTCCCTCCCACTTTCTTTTTTTTTGTGGTTACAAATAATATAAATACAAAAATCATTTAAAATTTATTTATATTTTCAATATAAATAAATTTTAACTTTTATAATTTAATATCATTTGATCTGTCAGCAATGTTGGGTTCTGTTTAGAAACTGCTGCCTATAACATTACCCAACAGTTATCAAACAATAGATATTTTTTGATTTAAGTTCAGTGAACTGGCCGGTCACGGGGAACAAAGATAATTTGCATGTTTTTTGAATGACATCTCAACAATTTTTTCTGGTAGTAAGTTGCCCTATTGTGTGTGAAAGTATTATTATCTAAAATAAATTGAACATTATGTTTCAAAATTTCCAAATAACTTGCGAAAGTCACTTTGATGTAACAAGTGTAAACCAGCATGTTTGATATATGTGCCCTAACTCATTATTGCTGGACTTTTCTTACGGATAGTGCAATGTACATTCCTGAAATTAACGCGTAAATTTATTGGCCATCGAACTTGAATATAGCGTGCTGCAAAATAGTTACTTGTGCTTCTTGTAAGAATATGATTCGTTGTCATATTTCAACAATCCAACCCTGTTTTTTCTCCAAAATTTGTGGCGATCGAATATACTTTTTTGAGAAAATTGTGATTTTATTGCAGCAAAACACGATTGAAGAGTAACCTTGTCAAGGTGTTTTCAAACTGAGCGGGCACTAACATTCATACTAGGAGGCAGTTGAGTAAGAATTTCTGAGCTATTTTAGAAGATAACAAACTTTTTTAACAAACACTGCAGCAATCAAAAGAAACCTCAGTTTTAACAAGTATTATTTTGAGTATCTGAAATTTTCGTCAGTCATGAAGGGTTACAACTTGATTCTAAAAATAAGTAAAGCCCTTTATCTTCAATGTCATGAAAATACAATGTCGCTCGGAAATAGTTAACTTTCTAAATCAATTCATCGAAAACAGCTTCCTACCAGAAACATTTTAGTGCTATGGAAAAGTTGAATAAAATCTGTCATCTTTGCTTGATATCTCATTTTTCGATACACAAAAGATATTCAGAAAAATTGGTATACCTTTATATGGATTAAGATCAAATCTGCAATTCTAGTAGCCTGATAATAGCAGAAAGAAAATACGTTCAAATTGAGAAAGAACTTTCAGCATGTGAACGTTTTAACAAATACACGTATGCAGCCCCGCAGAGAGCCATAATTTTAGACGGTGCAAGAGATACTTTTGAGCCCTTTACCCATAATTCTAATATTTTAAACTATTACTGTATGCTTTTGCTGAATCAATTGTGGTTGAACTTTGTCAAAATCAATTAGCCTAGGTATTGAAGGTTCGAGACTCAACATTGCCAAATCCACTAACCGTCCTTGTAGCATTGTAGTTCTTAAAAAGTTTTTAATCAGTTTTAGTTTGCTAAATGAGCGTTCAGCGGATGCAACTGTAGCAGGAACTATTCACGGCGTTAATTTTTGTCCCAAAATCTTTCAGCGCGAATTGTTCGCGCGACTATTAAAACTGACTGGAATATTTTTACGTTTAGTTCAGTCCAAACTAAAATATGCAGTTAAGTAACCAAGGATCATGGCTTAATTGGTCTAAAGTTGAATGTTTTTATGTGTTAATATGTTGAAATAGGAGTTGTATTTTTTGTTCATAAAAGAATATATGTATTTTTACACAATCTTCGTATTATTTTAATCATAATAAATAAGTCTACAAAAAGATGCTCGATAAACCACTATGTTACCTCTTCTATACACACAGTTTTACATTTGAAATTGATACTTACATTAATATCTTTCTTTTTAGCTAGAGATTTTGAAAGTTAATGAATATTGTTGAAGCCTATTTGGCTTCCCGCGAATAATCTATTGGTTATAACTATTTCCCGCAGTGCATTGCGTCTTGAGCCATGCTCTCATGCTAGTTGTATATTATATATTGACCTTACTAACTTACAACTCTTCTTACTATTTAATATATTATTGAAACTCACATTGTAGTTATTTCTTAGTGTTCAAATTATATAAAGTAAACCGTTGAGTAGATTTAAGTACTCAATATTTGGAGCCCACGGAGATATTTGTTGCTGATCCTAAAGTTATCAGCCATCGTTCAAGTTTATTGCTGATCCTAAAGTTATCAGCTATCGTTCAAGTTTATTGCTGATCCTAATGTTATCAGCTATCGTTTAAGTTGCTGTTGATCCTGAAGTTATCAGCTGTTTTAAAGTTGTTGCTGTTCTGAAAGTTACCAGCTGTTATTAAATTTCGTTGCTGATTCTCAAGTTCGAACAAAGATTAAAGTTTGTGAGAAGATAAAGTTGAAGTTAAGTAATAATTGATATTGTACTTGTTTTTTGGGTCAATCCTTTTTTTTGGGGGTTGTTTAATGCACGTGTTTTTATTAGCATTAAAAAAATTATATATATTTGTAATTTATTTGTGTTTGTGTCAGAATTAACCATAGTTTTTTTTAAGTAAGCATTATTTGTTGTTGACATTTATAGGGTTTTTATATAATGTCGAGTATTGCTGGAAAACGACGTGTTCGTACCATTACGGTCACTGCTTGTAAAAATATATTTGAGAGGGCCAATGAGTGTATGGCTAATTTTAGCCAGGATAGTAACTCTTTTGAGGAACTATCTAGTTTTAAAGAAGTTTTGATCGAAAAATATAATAAAGTTAAAGCGATTGATGATGATTTAATCAATTTAATTGAAGATGATGAGGAATTGTTAAATGAAGAAAATTTAGCTAATGAGTTTTCTTTATTTTTCAAAAAGAACATGAAAATAATTGAAAAATTTAATAATAATATTTATAAAAGTATTAACGAGTCGCAATCTAGCAGTTTAAAAAGTTTTTCAAATAATAACATTAAACTTCCACCTTTAAAATTAAGTACCTTTACTGGAAAGCCAGAGGAATGGCAGACCTTTTATGAAAATTTTGAATGTGCCATCCATAATAATAATGATCTTTCCCCAATACAAAAGCTTAACTATCTAAGAAATTTACTTGACGGGAAAGCTTTAAAAACAATTTCAGGCTTAGCATTAACAAACGACAACTATCATACATCATTGGAATTACTTAAGGAAAGATTTAATGATAAACAACTGTTAATTTCGACACATATGAAGTCACTTCTATCTCTAGAGAGAGTGCAAAGTATTAACAACATTTCTTTATTAAGGCGTATTCATGATAATATCGAAGTTCAAATTAGAAGTTTAGAAAACTTAGGTATAGATTCAACTATGTATGGACCTTTATTGATTCCTATTATAATGCAAAAAATTCCAGAGGAGTTAAATTTGATTATTGCTAGAAACTTCGATTCCTGTGATTATTGGGATATAAAATATGTTTTAAAATCTTTAAAAGCTGAGTTGCAAGCTAGGGAAAAAGCTCACTCAGGTAGAGAGTGTAATTTTGATCCTTCAACAGCAGAAGTATTACATTCTAGTGCTTCTTTTAAGCCACAATATGAATTAAAATGCATTTTTTGTAGTAAAAGTCATAAAAGTGAAAGTTGTAAAACTGTAACAAATATAAATTCAAGGAGAAATGTTTTAAGAGATAAAAGGCGTTGCTTTAATTGCCTGAAATCAGGTCATATGTCTAAAGATTGTCGTTCTAGAATAAGCTGTTATGAGTGCTCAGGGAAGCATCATGTTTCTATGTGTTTTAAAAGGTTTCCTTTGCATATTGATGATAGTAAAGAACCAAACAATAAGTTAACGTCTGTTGCTACTACAGAAGCATTGAAATCTAAGAATGTATTGTTACAAACTGCTATGGTTACAGTAAAGAATAAAGATAAGACACTAAGATGTCGCCTTTTATTTGACAGTTGTTCTCAGCTGAGTTATATTTCCCCATCATTACGAAAGAAGCTCTTTCTACCCACATTAGGTAGAAAGCAATTAAATATTAAAACTTTTGGCAATCAGAGCCAAACCCAGAACTTAGAGATGGTTAAACTTTCTATATTGACTTTAAAGAATTCCTTAATACCTATAACTTGTTTTGTTAAGCCCATATGTGCTCCTCTTAGTGGTCAGTATATAGAGGAGGCTGTCGATTCCTTTGAACATTTAAAAGGAATCAATTTAGCTGATAGTAATGTAGATTGCAAATCATTGGAAGTAGATGTACTTATTGGAGCGGATTATTATTGGTCATTTTTTAATGGCAAGGTAATTCGCGCCAATAAAGGTCCTGTTGCTTTACAATCATCAGTTGGTTATATATTAAGCGGAAATGCATCATCTGGAAAAGATTGCTCTGTCTTTTCCACACATACTTTAAAAGTTGAGACGGAATTCATTAATGAAATTCCCCAATTTAATGAGAATATTAAGAAATTTTGGGAACTAGAGAATTCAGGAGTGGAAAATAATATTTTTGATCATTTTAAAAGTAATATTTATTTTGATAATAAAGACTGTAGATATACAGTTAAATTACCATTTAAAAATAACCATGCATTATTGAGCGATAACTATAGTTTATGTATAAAACGTCTGAATGTAACTCTTAATAAATTAAAAAATGATTCTGAGCTATTAAATGAATACAATAAGATAATTATAGAGCAATTAAATTCAGGGGTAATAGAGAAGGTAAATAATTATGATTGGAGTATTGGTGAGGTGCATTACTTGCCACATCGCCCAGTATGTCGTAAAGATAAAACTTCAACAAAAGTGAGAATTGTTTTTGACGCAAGTTCCACTCTATCGGGTCCATCATTAAATGATTGTATAAATGCTGGACCAAGTTTAGCTACACCTCTATTTTTTATATTATTACGTTTTCGTGCTAATAAATATGCCTTTATTGCAGACATAGAGAAAGCATTTTTGCAGATTGCCCTTGATAAAAATGATAGAAATTATTTGCGTCTAATATGGTTTGATGATATTTATAATATTAATAATAGTAATTTGTTTTCATCTGCATTGGCTACTTATCGTATATGTAGAGTGCCTTTTGGTGTTACTTCATCTCCATTTCTCCTCAATGCCACGTTAATTTATCATACTGAGAGATATTGCCTTAATGATAATATTTCCTCAAAGTTGTTGCAATCCTTGCATATAGACGATTTGATTTCTAGTTGTGTTACCATTGAAGAAGGTATTTTATTTTTTAATAAATGTAAAGACATATTAAAAGAAGGAGGTTTTAACTTAAGAAAGTTTGAGTCTAATTCTTCAGCCTTTGAGAAACAAATTAATGGTGACAATTATGAGAGACAAACGAATACAAGAGTTTTAGGCCTCAAATGGAATAAGACAGAGGATTCAATAATTTATTCATTTGAGGATTTATTAAATGTAGCCTCAATAGTTCCAACAAAGAGAGAAGTAATGAGTTTTATTGCCAGTATTTATGACCCAATAGGTCTTATTAATCCAGTAGTTGTAACTTGTAAAAATTTATTTCAAAGGATTTGTGTTTCTAAGTTAGGTTGGAATGAAAATTTGTATGGTGATTTATTGTCTACTTGGAATCTTATTTTAAGTGATTTCAAATCTGTTTTTCAAATAGCAGTACCTCGATGGTATATGAGTCCTGGGTTGGGTAATATAAATAATGTAAAATTTGAATTACATGGTTTTTCTGATGCAAGTGTTAAGTCGTTTGGGTGTTGTGTTTATCTTAGATTTTTTAATGCTAATTTTAGTCGTGCCTCTTTGATAGCCTCGAAGTCTAGGGTTGCCCCATTAGGCAAGAACACAATGCCTCGATTAGAGCTTTCTGCAACTTTACTCTTAGCAAAGCTATTAGCATCTATTTACGATCAATTGATATCTATTTATAACATTTCAAATATAGTATATTGGACTGATTCAACAATTTGTTTGCATTGGATTTTTAATACTAATAATACCTATGAACAGTTTGTACAAAATCGTTTAAATAAAATAAGAGAATTGACTTTAATTTGTAATTGGAACTATATTGAATCCTTTAGGAATCCTGCAGATATAATATCACGAGGATCTTCGCTTAAGAAATTAAATAATAATGAACTTTGGTTTTATGGACCCAATTTTTTAAATGATATTAATATTAAATGGCCATATTATGAACATGTTAATCATTCAAATGAAACACATGAAGTTTTGTGTAATGTGGTACATGTTAAGGTTAATGTTAATCTTGACTTTATTAATGTTGATAAATTTAGTGATTTTAGGTATTTACTTCGAGTAACATCGTGGATTCTTCGGTTTATCAATAATGCGAAAGATAAAAAGAAGAACATCTTCAAGACTGGTTTAATTACAGCTGAAGAAATAGATAATGCAAAGCGATTGTGGATTAAATTTTCACAAATAAATCTAATCGATGAGAATAAATTTAAACAATTACGAAAAGATTTATGTTTATTTGTTAGCGATGGTATATATCGATGTCGTGGCAGAATTGAACATGCTGATTTAGAATATGATACAAAGTTTCCTATTTTTATTTTCAATAACTGTTATTTTGCTAAATTATTAATTTTACATTTTCATAAGCTTGTCAAGCACAATGGTGTGAAAGAAACAATTAATGCTTTAAGATCCCAGTATTGGATACCTTGTTGTAGGCAGTTAGCAAAGAGCGTGATACGAGAATGTACAACTTGTCGACGTATAGAGGGTAGGCCTTATTCATACCCACCTGCTCCACCTTTGCCTGAAAGTCGTTTAAATTCTGATTTCGCCTTTAAAAGTATTGCTTTGGATTATGCTGGTCCGCTGTATATTAAAGATATTTATGGCGATTGTACGTTGAATAAAGCATGGATTTTCTTATTAACATGTTGCAGTAGTCGTTCGATTTTATTAGACTTAGTAGCTGACTGTTCATCTAGATCATGCATTATGGGTATCCGTAGATTTATTGGAAGACGGGGTGTTCCAGAAATTATTTATTCAGACAATGGTTCACAATTTTTTCAACTGAAACTCAGTACTTTGCTGCAAACCATTCTATAAAATGGAAGTTTAATGCGCCTTCGGCACCGTGGTGGGGAGGGATGTTTGAGCGACTAGTACGAATGACTAAAAGATGTTTGAAGAAAGCCTTAAAGAATTCGAAGTCTTCTTATGAAGAAGTACGAACGTTGCTTTCTGAAATTGAAATGGTACTAAATAACCGACCATTAACTTATTTGTATAACAATCAAGGTGATGAAGCACTCACACCTAATCACTTAGTCTTTGGACATAAGCTTAAGCTTGAATCAAGTCTTAGTGCTTGTAACGATATAGAACAAGATGTGCATATACGAAACAGTATGTTATCGAATACATTGAATCATTTTAGAAGTAGATTCAAAAGTGAGTACTTGACAGAGTTGCGTGAATATCATAAATCGAAGCGGAGTAATGGATGTAATGGTATTCGTGTTAATGACATTGTATTAATTGAAAATGATAACTGTAAAAGACAATTATGGAAATTAGCACGTGTTGAAAAATTGTTATATTCAAACGACGGAGTTGTTCGCGTTGCTAAAGTTTGTTACAAACAAGAGAATGGTAGTTCGTGTTTAATTACTCGACCCATTAATAAACTATATCCTACTGAATATTCAGACAATGAAAAAATAGTAACTGTTGCCTTTATTAACGAGAAGAATATTCCTTTACTTGTAAATGGTGGCCGGGAGTGTTGAAGCCTATTTGGCTTCCCGCGAATAATCTATTGGTTATAACTATTTCCCGCAGTGCATTGCGTCTTGAGCCATGCTCTCATGCTAGTTGTATATTATATATTGACCTTACTAACTTACAACTCTTCTTACTATTTAATATATTATTGAAACTCACATTGTAGTTATTTCTTAGTGTTCAAATTATATAAAGTAAACCGTTGAGTAGATTTAAGTACTCAATAAATATATCTTGAGATATCTTATTTTTTCTTGTAAAAATTGACATTTTTGATTTTCAAAAAGTCTTAAAACCTAAAATAATGAATTAAATTTAAAATCTCTTACTAAATATGGACCTAACACACTAAGGACCATTTGTGGAATTTTTTTATAAATGAAGTAAAAGATAAGTATGAGTTTATCTCTGATGTTTCTATGTGACTTTTGAACTAATTTTTTGTAAACTGGCAGCCATTTTAAAAAAATATTTTTTTATTATTTGATTAAAAAACAAACTATTTTTTAAGACTTTATCTTGAATGTTAAATGTAAATGTTATACAATTTTTAATCCTTTTGCATTTTGATTATATCTCAATTTTTATATAACTTTCATAAAAAAGATAAGATATTCAAAATTTATTTCTTTTAGTTTTTAAAAATAATACCTGTAAAAAATATCAATAAGATGGCATCTTTCCTTATTTTATGCTATTTCTTTTTTTTAATAAATTAAGGTGTAAATATATATAGTAGTTCTATTGGTTAAGTTTAAGTTATTATATTGGTTTAAGAATAAATTATTCTATTAGTTTAAGATTAAGTTGGGGTTACCTATTTAATCCACAATACATCTAAAGCTTGGCTGTTCAAAAAGCTATGCAAATTACAGTGTGTTTAGATTTATAAAATAGAATTTACAAATTGGATGAAAATAGAACATGTATGATAAATTGATAGGACAGCAGTAAAATTTTATTTTTGTTTTTTAGGTATTGGTAGGCTGTACCTGACGTCTTACTTTCTTGCAACAAAATCAAAAGAACCTTCAACTACAAACCAATTAAATTAATTTTTATAGCAGCATTTTCTTTGAAGAATTTTCCCTTTATCTTATTTACTAATCAGATTACTTGTATTTCATAATTTCTTTAAATTATTTTTCGAGATTTTTGGATTTAAATTTTGGTATTATACAAAATTTTAAGTTTAAAAAATTATTTTACATATAGATTCTTAAATTTTTAATAATTAATTTTTATTCAGAAGTACAATTATAATTGGAGTGTCCAGTGTTTGTAATATTTTTTCTGCAAATATCAATTTGATATTATGTTATCAATGTGAAAGTATAGCCTCAAGATATAATTTTAAAAATGGTAGGATGAGGTACATAAACTTACGCTTTGTTTTCTTATAAGTTTAGCGCAAAATGTCTGTACCGATAGAAACCACTCGCAAAATCTTTAGATATTGATTGGTCTTTTAAAATTTTACTATTATTTTTTACATGGTTTCTACTTACTATGATAGTAAGTGTGAAAACGCTTTCATTTCCAATGTATCCAAATCAATATTGAGATAATTCTACATGAAGCTAAACTTATCTAAAATGCTCTGTGCTGCTTTGAATCTTACAGTAAGGCCACCAATAACACTATCTAAAACCACATAGAAAACAAATCTTCTAAAGCATGATTACTCCATGGTCTCATCTTCATTTAAATCTGTAAACCCTTGATCCTCTGGCTCGCCAACAACTCTAGCTCTTTTGCGATTTACACCACCACGTCCTCTTGATATTTTGACTTCTATATCCAAATTCATTGCAACATTCTTTGATTCTGACCAGATATCTTTCCATTTATTCCGAAGCTCAAGAAGTTGTCTCAATAAGTGGTTTATGTTGTCCACTTCCACATCTAAAGTTGCATTTCTTGCTTGAATAACTTTGTTGCAAAAATCAATCGGAAAAAGAATTTTGTACCATATCGGTGACATTATTATCATTAGAATCAGTAGATTATATTACTTTAATTTAAGGTACTATAATCTACTGATTTCGTAGATTATAGTACTTTAATCTCTAATTAGAATTTAGATTGTATAAATCTAGCTAGTGTGCCCCTTATTTTCGCTTTATCTAGTTGAATTCTAGTTAGATTCTCTTTAGAATTTTTCAGTGGGACCAAAATATGCCCATCTTTTAAGTGTATGAATATCTTTTTCTAAATGTGCAAAATATGTGTTTTTTAAGTATGTCACTAATAAATTTTTGCAATTATTATTGTAATTATTTTATAAAAAAGCTTTGGTTAATGAGCCCCAATTGTTCTATGGGCCCTGGAGCAGTGCACCGCCTGTAACCCCCCCCCCCCTCTCAGTGGGCCTGCACAAATGAACGATAGGTCTTTTTTCAAAGTAAACAAAAAATTTAGAACATATTTTACATTATTTACGCTGTCATAATCCTAAATACACTGTCACCGTCTTGAATAGAAAAAATTTTTATTTTATTTTAAAAGTATTAAGCTGTACTAAAATACGTTCCAAAAAACGATCCAACTCCGTTTCTAAAATATGTTTTATTAGAAAATTCTATTCTCTAATTAAACAAACGTTTCATTAGAAAATAGAATTTTCTACTGATAATCGTGGCAATGTAGAAGCTAAACTTGAGTAATTGGACAATGAAGAAAATAACGTTGGAAGACGATAAAAAGACTGGTGCTTTTTAAAAATTGCTGTACCTAATCAAAGTTAACAAATTTCTAAAAAAATCTACTCCTATAACGAGAAACCAGCTTCTAAATCTAATTGGTAATAGTAAATTGCTAATTGAATTAGCGTAATACAAAGGCTGTGATCAAGAATTAGTGCATAATTTCTTAAACAATTTACATGATGATAAGAGAGTTCGACGACGAGGTAAAGAAAGTTAGGTATTAGATTTCTGTTGATACATCTATATTTATATAATAAATATAGATGTAAATATAAATATAAATGTTCATAAAAGTTCATAGTTTAAAAGCTGTTCAGTCTGATTAAAGATTTAACTAATTAGAGGGAACTGGGAACCATACACAAGTACCATTTAACACACACAAGTATCATTTAACACACACAAGTATCATTTAAAACACACAAGTATCATTTAAAACACACAAGTATATTAACTTTTATATATAAGGCGGCCCTGCATCTATGTTTCCTCCCTGGGCCCCTAAATGCCAGTCTGACCCTGTAAATATATATAATTAATTATGTGTAACATTATTTTTGTTAAAATAATAAATTTTTAATAGAATAATTATATTAAAGTAATAAAGTTTTAATACCAAGGTTAAAATAATAAGATTTTGATTCATAAATAAAATAACACTTGCGCTCCCGGGTGGGCTTGAACCACCAACCTTTCGGTTAACAGCCGAACGCGCTAACCAATTGCGCCACGGAAGCTTATAAATAGCAGAAATTAAACAAATTTATTAAAACAACTTAGTCAATAGCATCAAATTTTGGCTAAACGTTCTTTAGAAAAGTTCAAAACGTTCAAAGAAAGATTTTGACTTTTTAATAAAACACAGACATAATTTCATTATCTTTTTATATTAGTTAAAATATTTACAAATACTTTTTCGGTCTGCGTTTTAATAAAAATGCAAAAACTTATTTTGATTTATCCTAAAGAGCGTTAACCTAAATTTTGGCAAACATTGGTATCTCACAGTAGGACAAAATGCAAAAAATCACATAATAATTGTCGCGTGTTTTTTATACCTTTTTTCATTTTTTATTCATCAACTTTCAAAAGCAGGGCGGATCCAGAATTTTTTGGTCCATAAGTTAAATAACTTCCAGAAAAGTTCTAAACTCCAAATTTTTGTATTTTTATATTTAAGTCATTTAAGGATGATATGCAAAAATTTGCGCTGATTAGAGCCTGGGAACAAAAAACCCCTAAAAAGTAGGCACCACCCGCCCAAATGTGGGGAATCGGTTTTTCTAAATATAAATTCTAATAACCTAAATTAGGTGGTAATATCGTTAAGGTTCTAAATTTTTTTGAAAAACGTTATGTTGTTTAGAAATTATACCCAGTTTAAATTTACAACTCTCTCAATTTGAGGGGGCTCTAAACTTTGAACACTAGATGATTTTTTGATCAAACTTTAAATATAGATACACATTTGAATTTTATTAAAGGAAGTAACTTTTTTTTTCGAAAAATCATTTTTCCTCTCATTTGGGCGGGTGATGCCTACTATTTAGGGTATTTTTGTTCCCAGGCTCTAATCAACACATTTTTCGGCAAAGCATTCTTAAATGATATAAA